AGTTTTGTAAAATGCTCTATGTTCTTGTTGTAAGTTTAAGTAATTATTCAATACATATCTATAATTAACTTTGCTAAAAACGTTCAATAATTACATATAAAAATAAAAATTATATAGCTTTGATGACATATGAACTTGTTAAGTAATGCAAGCTCAAAATTGAAACATATTATTATTCTCTTTTCATCTATTTGTCTAGCAGAACAATCAAAAACTTAGGAGATTATTGCTAATATATAAACAATATTGTCTGTATTAGTATATACAATAGAATTACCATATGTTTCAATTATAATACATATTTATTTAAAGCAAAAAATATCTTCACCGTATAAATTTGGTTTTATCATTCGATGCCATCATACAATATTAGATTATAATTTCTATCAGATATCTTCAGGTCATCAATATGATTCTATCTAATCGGAAAATTGAAAACAGTTTCGTTTTCTTTTTTCTGTCATATATCAAACTCTATGTTATATAAATTAGCGATGTTGTAATTGTTTTTCATATATCTAATCATCTCACTTTTTCAAAGAATCCTATTCATTAACTAATATTAGGACTTTGCGATAAATATATTTCAATGCTATTTAATCTTTTCATATGAGTATTTCTTAACAGTAAGAAGTAAAATAATATTATAATCATGCATCGAATTTCCATTAAAAGTGATTATTATTTACTTCAATAATAGATGAATAATGAAATAAAAGAATTTTTGTTTTTTTTTCGTTAGAATAAGAATAGCAAACAATACATTCAATCTGTTTTTGTTTGTTTGTAACTTTTTTCATATTTAACTTTGATCTAGTGAAGTCGAATTAAAGCATAGAATTGTATTCAATATCAATTATTTCATTTTATTGTCGATTTTAATATTATTTTGTTTGACCGGACTATACTAGGAAAGTTTAATCAAGGAATATGTCAATATATTCATCCAATGATTTTCAGTTATATAAATAGATTCTCAACTGAATTCATTTAAGAAACAGGAAGGTCGTCATAGTAGTTTATCAGGAAATTTATCATTCAGCACGAATGAATATCAATCCGGTAAGTAAGAAAACTAAGAAGATAATGTCTCTTCACTATTTTCTTAACCAATCTTGTTAATCATATTGCTATATATATATGTTTGAGTTGACAACCTTGTACACATACGCTGATAGGAAAATACCAAGACAAGAAGAAAGAGAATAGCATGAAAAATTCTCGTAATCTACAATAGTCGCGTGCGAGATGAGCTAGAATAAGCAATAGAAATGGCAAGGCAAAATGTGCAAGAATGAGGAGGAAAAAAAACCGACATTTTTCTACATAATTAAGTTTTGATGCGAACGAGAACTATTCTGATTTTACTGAATAGTAAAACTTGAAAAAGAAAATTTATCTCTTGTCTTATTGATCTGTTTATAGATAATCTACTTTCTTTATATTTTTTTTTTTTAAAAATTGAAATTATCTTCATTTATCCTACACATTTATTGTTATATTTTACATGATTTTGTTGGATGTTATATGAAACTTTGAAAAGAATTGTTATAGTAATATCGATAATAACATATATTATTTATAAGGAATAAAGAAAAATGGTGAGACAAAGAGTAACTTATATCAGGTAAGTGCAATAATCATACGCATGCGTGCAAAGAAAAGCATAAGGAAGGAAATTTGGTAGAAACGATATTAAGAACAGAATTATAAGCTTTCGCTTTTTTTTCTCTCTTATATTGGTTCTTTTTTTCTGCTCTTTCTTTTTTCTTTTGCAGAACTGTTACTTGAACAAGTACAAAGAAAAACTCAGTTCTGACTGCTTGCTTTATTATAGAACGTAAAAGAGAAAGGGAGAGAAGAAATTCTAAGCGACGAGTTGTTTCTTTTCACAAGAAAAAGAGAAAAAGAAAAAAGAGACGACTGCAATCGAAGAATGGCATCGTTCATTTATTCATTTGTTTAGTTTATCACCTTACTGTTGCATTACATAAGCATTTCATATATTTTTTTTTTCATTCCAAGTAAACGAACTTGACATCCTCTTATTTCCGCATGAATTCAATATGAAAATTATTTCTTTTAATCCAAAATATATAATACTATGATTTTGCAAGAAAAACAAGTAATGAATAAGAGTCTTATTTTCATTCTCTCCGTTTACTATAAAGATGAATATTGATCAACAACAACAACAACAACAATATATTAATGGATATTATTATAACTGCAGTTGGTGAATTTATTTGGGCATCATCGTATGTATTATAATTTAGAATTATATATATTTTGTTTTTTTTTAACTTTATTTTATTTATTTTAGATGTGCTCTGGTAAATTTTTGTCTTAGTTCAGGTCTTAGTGTTCTTGTCGTATTTATCTCATTTCTTTGTGCTATTCTTGCATCAGCCTTTTATAAATATTCGACAAGTCGTCAACATACATCGTCTGATGATAGTACATGTGTTCTTAACAATCATGATTACGAAGATCTAGACGAGCCGATTACAGTAACACCAACAACAGAACAATCGATAGAACAATCATTGCCATTAATAACAACTGACGAATCAAATAATACTAATAATAGTCGATCATTATCAGAAATTGACATTTGTTTAGAAGAAGAAAATATAAATGGAGATACAATAGATAATAATGAACAAATATCAGATGATATATTAATTGATACTATTGAAGGTTCGGAAGAAGAAATTCAAAAACAACAAATAGCTAATATATATCGTCTTTTAAATGATCAAAATCTAATTAATAATTGGACAACAACTGATTTTCTTGAACAACTTAAAATGTATGGACTTCATACATATGATGAAAATGAACCAGAATCACCTTAAATAAATAAAAATGTACATATATATGTATTAAATTCTTTTTTTTTTCTTCTTTTTATGGACTTCTGTAGATTTATGTCATTGTTTAGACAACGCTTTATGTCATTTTAATGTAATTTGCAATAGTCATATATAGAAACAAATTTATTATGTTCATTAAATGATCTAAATATATGATTTTATTTGTATAGAACTGTATAGGAATTTATTTTCAATATTTTGTCGACAGATAAAATAGTTAAAGATTTTATTTGATGATTTTAGTTTTCTTTTAGAAGAAAAGCAAAACTCTCATAATCCATGCATTCAAAGTCTACGATAATTTGTATACTCTTTGATTTTAAATGTGAAATTGATGATGTTGAAAAAAATAAGCGATCTCGAGATCAATATAAAATAAATTTTCGTATTCTGAAAATCAGAAGCCATTTATTACAAACTAAAAATTTATAGTGCCTAAAATTAGAACTTACATTAGATAAATCTTTTTTTCTTTCGAAAAATGTAAAATGATATTCTACAAGGATATGAATTTCCATATTTAATTCATCACATGCAAAAACCATTTTTACTATTTTTAGAAAAAAAATTCTGTGAAATTGTTACAAAGATTATGAAAGCTTTTCAATGTCGAATTCAGGAAATTTTCTACAATTTTACGTCTTTAAAACGATGAATATAACTTATAAAAGAGTTGTAGATAAATGAATATTAATTTCTATGTTTGTCAAAACATCTAAAATGTGGGTTTTTTTTTCAGAGTTCTTTTGTAATAATAATTACGTTTTGTCTCTCATAACATTTTTTAACTTCATTTTTCATTATTGTTCTAATATTTCCAGATCAGGTGTCTGTTACTTTATAATATTCATCATGTTTTTTTTTTTAATTAGATCTAGTTTGAACTACCTCATGATAGGTATTATTCTATGCCGGTAGGACGCGTAAAATTATATGAATTTCTTGAATTCAACATTAAAAAGCTTTCATAACCTTTGTAATTAAAGGAAAGACTAGATCACACTCCCTATGCTAAAAATAAACAATGTCTTGTTAGTTGAAATTTTCGACATTTTTCCTGTCGACCTTTCTCCAGTCAACCTTATATCTTCTTCAACTATAATTCTCTGGTTCGTGTGTAAATGTCTATAATTAAGTTTCAGTTCATATTTATTTCTTGCCAAAAATATTTTATTCAATCCATTCTATCAATATATACCATTGTCATTTTGATTTATTCACTAAAATTTTGTAGAAAAACAAAAGCAATCTTACTCAAAAAAAAAAATTCATTGAAAAACAAAATAAGAAGTATTTGTACGATTAATTTCATGAAATTTTATTATTTTTTTGAACATCTTTTGGTACAATAAGGTAGGCATTCTATACTATAAGAAGACAAGAGAATTTATAATAAACAAAAAACAACAATTCTGAAAAGTTAAATATTCAGATGATAACTTCTATTTACTTAAATTTCACATTTTAGTAAAAATGTTAAAACTACTTCTGTTTTTTTTTTTCTTTTTTTTATCTTGAGTAAAATTTTACATGACAAAGATTTCATTTTCATTTCATTAAGATTTGTTTTAAAGACATATGTTAAATTTCATAAATCAAGTGGCCAGAATATTACTATACGAAAATGAACAATAAAAATGAATTAGAAAAGAACAAGAAGAAAGAAAAAAACGTGCAAAACTTAGAGCAAATCTGACCCCTCACATGTACGTGTAAATGTGCAAATACTTCACTATCTATTGTTCTGTCTTCTTAAATACAATAGAACTATATAAAGCAGTAAAAGAAGAATTAAGACAAAAAAAAAAAAAAAAAAACAAGAAAGAAAAGGACAATGGATAAACGTACACAGAAAAAACAAAAGATATGATAAAATTTTTAAAAAAAAATGAACAAAAACATGTGAGGCAGATGACGAAATTCCTGATAGAAAGAAAAAAGAAAATACTACACGCTACATATAATATTATAATATTTCATTTGTTTTTTTGTTTTTTTTTGTTTTTGATTAAGAAAGTAAAAACATACAGGCACATAAACACATTGTATACAGAAGAAATAAAAAAAACGAGGCAAGTATTTAGAACTCTGTATATATATGTTAATAATTCTTAAATATTTAAATTAAAGACCCGTTTTTGATACTCGTCGATCTAAATAATTAGATAAGAATTATATAAAGATAAATCAATAAAATATATACCTGCAAATCCAACTAATTTCGTATGTGTAGTTGGTACTTCTGAAGATTGTATTTCTGAATTTGTCTCATTAATAATTGGTTCAATATGAACAATAGTTGGTAATGTTCGTGATGTTATTGGATAATTTCTTTCACGATACCATTGAACAGATTTTTTATCAAGTACAAGTAATTCAAGATCATCACGTCCCATATGATGTTTTATTTTATCTAAGATAGTTTCATATATTAATCCATCAATATTTGAACCATTTATTTCAATAATACGATCACCATCACGTAAACCACAAACAGCTGCTGGTGAATGTTTTGTTACATCGGAAATGAATACTCGACTAAATTAAATCAAAGAATATAATTAGAAAAAAATTATTATAATAAAAAAATTATATTTTACCCAAGTTTTTTTGGATCACCACATAAGAAAAACCCATAAAATGGTGATGTTGGAAATTTTCGAATACGACAAAGACGTGCAACTGGTGCATCTTGTGTTGAAATATCTGATAATTTATTTATTGAACCTTCTATATATATAGTAAAAACAAATTTATCATAACAATAATTCAGACAACAAAACTTCCTTATGGTTGAAACACAAAACTCACATGTATTCTTTAGCCTCATTATACTAATACAAAACATGTAAAATGAAAAATTACTCACAGACTGTTATATATCTCGATAAATTCAGAAACATTGATATTGATTATTTCTGAAAGTTATAATTTGATCAATTCATACTTTCTATGTTGACCATATGACTATTGTAGCAAATCACTACTCATCATACTTGACATCTTGAATATAGATTTTTATCTGCCCAAAAATCAAAAACTACAAGATTTAAAACATACATAAGCGTATTCCAGTCATTTGAATTTCAAGAAAGACTTTGGAATATTCTAGAAATATCTAGAATAGTCTAAGTCTTATCGTTAATTCTGTTCAGTACCTTTTGTTTCGTTGCTAAAGAACTCTGTAAAAAGGATTCCGATGCTTGTTGTTCTCGATTGATATGAAAACATAATCAATGACCAACTCGATCGCTAAGGTCTGTAACGGAGAAGATGAGTGAGTATCGAATAAGAAGGAAAAAGTAAGACTTCGAAATACTGAAGCCTTGCTTGTTCCTCCCTTGGTAGGAACCCACAAAACTTCAACTTAAAACTTACACTCATTATGTTTTTCGAAAATATATCTGAACTTCATAAAAGAAAAGAAAATAACAAATAAACCTACTTTCGTATGAAGCTGAAATATGTTTTGTTAGATGCATACTAGTTGGAGAAGCTGTAATTCCTAGAAAATAAAAGAAAACTAAAAAACAAAGAAAATATAATATAAATTTATACCTGTAGCCAATGCAGGTACACTTCCACCGAAAGCACGATTAGTAACATTTTCAAGATGTTTTAATTGTCCAGGTAGATTAGGATAACTTGTAGCAATTTTTTGTTGATTAAGACTATCAAATGGACTTATTGAACTATTTATATCAGATAAATCATCACCCGAAACACCTATTGGATGTGATGAATGAATTGCTGTTGATGTTACTGCATTATTATTATTGTTATTGCTATTTAATAAACCATTTGTATTTGTTTGTTTATCAGCATTTGTTGTTGATGGATAAACATCACGAGAAGAACCATCTACAACACGCATTTCAATTGTATCATTTGTCCGCATTGCAGAGACAAGCATGTCAACTACCTTTAAAATAAGAAACAATATTCTGTTGTTTTTTTTTGTATTTATTATGATTATTAAATCTTCTTTCAAAATAAAATTTTATATTCCAAATATAGACAAATACATACTTGCTCATATCTAACATTTCTTACATTGACACCATCAACTTCCAATACCTCATCATTAATTTGTAAACCAGCGATATCAGCTGCTGAGTACTATTGAATAATAACAACAACAACAAAAAAAAGAAAATACATAATACATCAATAGAATTTGAATTTAATTTACGAACTTTTTCAACAGCTGTAATTGTATGATCATAATCACCGGTGGCACTAAGAACAAAGCCAAGACCCTTATTACGATCAACTTTGAGTACACATCGGCGAGGACCTCGAAGAAAGTCAAATGATCCAGTTGATACTGTTGAACGAACTGTATCATGTACAGTTGAAATAGGTACAGTTGATGTAGTATTAGCAATCGTATCAAGTGATTGTGAAACACGTGGTACTTCTAATCGATTATGTCCAACATGAACAGTTGGTGGAGAAGGTGCACGTGTTTTTGAACTAACTTTTGTTTTTGGAGGAGCATCAAAGTCAACTACAGGGGAAAAAAAAGCATGAAAAATAAAATAACTTATTAACTTTTATTCCACATATCATCTATTTACAATTACAAAAAAGAAAAAGAATCATACTCTTGTCAAATTCGATTTACTTTTCTTATCATCATACTATTTCCATATACAAGAGTTTCACTTTTCTTTTAAGTTTTCTACATTTCTCATTCGTAAAAAAATCCTATTTTCCGCGAAATTTAACTTTTGGTTTAATTCATTTTTATAAATACAGGATGGTCCAAAGGTCACCGAACAGTTTTGGATTGCAAATAACTTCTGACAGAAACAAGAAAGAAACATACGATTTTCACCATTGAAAAGAGAAGAGTTGGGCGTAACAAACCATATACGAAACACAATATTCATAATTTTTCTGGGTGGTTTTTGAAAAACCAAGATTAAACAAACTGTTGTATTCAGAATTTAACGTTTTATGAGAACTTCAAAAATTTCGATTTTTATATACCATCTAAAAATGTTTTTAAACATTATATTTCTTATATAGTTCGATGCCTCCAAGTCTCTTCTTTTCAACAATGAAAACCACAACTTTCTTTCTTTTTTTCTATCAAAATTTATTCGTTAGTTATAAGAAATATTTATTACTTTTCTCAGTTGTGACTATCAACATTATCAAAATATCTTTTACTCGATATCAACAAAGTAAAATAAAAAGCACAAGATCAAAGTATTCAATACTCTAAAGAAATGCTAAAGTCTCTCAGACTATTCTATTCTAATAGATCTATACTAAAATCATATCTAGGTGATATTGTCAGATAACCTACCGTGTTTGTATTGTGTTTCTAAGAATATGTGCATCTGTGTCGGTCATAGGCGTGCAATATAGATAGAATAAAAAGATGTTTTTTTTTTTTGTCTTTTATCTACAGTAGTCGTTGTAATATAGAGTGCTGGAGCATGCAAAATGTGCATTTTTTGTTGTGTGTACAGTGCGAAAATAATAATATAAAGAAGTGATACTAATAGAAATAAATATTAAAAAAAAAAGTTCTAGAAAAAAAAAACACTACGTTTTTTTTAAATTACAACTGACAACAGTTATAGTAATAATAACGATACGAAGAAGAAAATGTCAAAATAGCTACATGCAAAAAGAAGAAGAAAAAAAAAAAGAAAAGAAATAATCACGAACGTTTTGATGATTTTGAATGTCCAATTTTGTGAAATAAATTATTAATTGCATTTGGTATAGCTTTTGCTTTTGATGGTTTTGATTCTTTAGTGGATGTTGTCGAATGTGATGTACTAGGTACATTTTGAGAAACACTTGAAGAAGTATCCTTTTGTTCAGATTTCGTATGTGCAGGATCAAAAAATTTTAATGGTGTTTCGTGAGAACGGGCAGAAGCATGAGCAAGTGTACTAGGCGGTGTAGATAAATCAAAACTAACTGCTGGTTGTGAATGGCGTGTTGTTTTGGCTTGTGATGTAATAGGAGGTGATGATTTTTGTTCAGGTAAATCTTGTTTAGCATTTTCTTCATTCTCAGAATCCGTTTCTTTTGGTGTCGGAAGATGATAACCAACTGTCATATTATGAGCAGATGAAATACTATCAGTAGATTTTCTATTACTATTATGTAACTGTTCTGGACTATCTTTTGATGATATTGAAGTTGTTGCTGCTCCTGTGGCAGCAACAGGTAATTTATGAAAACTTGCTGATGACCTACTTTTTGGAAAAATATGTTTTACTTTCATTTCGGGTTCTTTTAATGGTTTTTTTGTTCGTTGACAATAATCAAATGTTTCTTGATCAGCAACAAGCATTTCTAATCGTCCATCACGTCTAGCTTTTTCAATTTCTTTTTTAACTTTATCATAACCTAAATTTTTGGTTTTACGTTCATTAATTTTTAATAATACATCACGTGATTGTAAACCAGCACCTTCAGCGGGTGATTGTTGTTCAACACGTAATATAATTGGATATTCATAATCAGGATCTTCACTTAATTCAAAACCAAATGTTGCTGCATGTGTACCATCAGAATTAGTTGGATGTAAATGACAAAGACGTAATGTATATGATAATTCTTTATTTCGCTGTTCTAAAAAAAAGAAAAGCAGCAGAAAAAAAAAGAAAGAACAGAGATACATGCCAAACTAAATATTGAGCAAAAGCAAATAGGAATTGGTAAGCAATGAAAATAAAACTGAGCTTTAAATCGTAAAAACAAAAGAATTTATATATATATAGGCAAATACGGACAAGATCAATTTATAAGCCAAGAAACAAAAAAAAAAAAAAGAAAAAAAAAGAAATAAGAAATCAAGCAAACTTGCCTTGAACATGCATCGTGAATATTTTTAATATAAAGAATGTTCTTTTTTTTGTTTTCTTTTTATTCAAAAATACATGTTTATGATGATTATAGTCTCTTATTTGCGATCACGCCCCGAATCTAAATTCTTCGTAGTAGTGCTGCTGCTGCCGTCGACAGAGGAGGAGGAGATGCCTCGATCTTAAACGAGAGAGAAAAAAACGAAAAGAAAATTATTTGATTATTTTTGTTTATGGACTACGCATTAATTGCGGCCAAAAAATTTTAAGCCAATTAGTGAAAAATAATCGCTTTTGTTAGAGTGAGTAAAATTGCTTTGTCTCATTTTTATGACAATATCCAAAAATGCGCCCACGTTGCAGTTAAGGAGCAAACAACACACACGATATCATGCATATTTAAATATATCGACTATCAAATGTTCAACATCAATTAATTCGCGATATTTTAATCCAATTAATAGATTTTGTATATTAACAGCTTGTTTCAAATCATAATTATGATTTGTATCATTGCAGTTTTTAAAGTAGTAATACAAGGATATAATTTGAATGCACAAATATATACTAATGACCCATTTTTTTGGTTTTGAAATAATTATCATAACAAAATTGTTCTTTCACCATTTTTTTTTGCTTTGTTGACAAAGTAAACATAATATTCTTTATTTCAAATGAAATATTACTTTCATTTTTATCTTTCTGTATGTTTCAACAATATATAAACCATGATTCAACCAATTTTGTAGTAAATAATTAAAAAATGTTCACTTTTTGGAAACATAATAAAACTGAGACAATGCAATTTTACTCATTTCAAAAGGACATCAATCATTTGTCACTAATTGACTTCAATTTTGATCACAATTACAAAGCTACGTGTTTATGTGCATTGGTGTGTTTAGATATCAAAGAACAGGCGGCATTTGTTGTCATCAATATTAAGCTTCAAGAATATGTGAAAATGACAATATAGTTTGACTAATCCCCTATCCATCCACAACGACAGCAGCTTAATAAATAATATACCATTTGAAATAAAGAAAAATAAAAACAGAAAAGAATAGAATTTCAAAAGAAAAAAAATTGGCCATTGTTGATGAAATGGAGTAAGGGTAAGAAAATTTTCATGCAAAGATATCGGTGAGTATTGTCAAGTGATGTTCAAAAGCTTTAGATGAGGAAAAAAAACAAAAACAAAAACTCAACAAATAGAAAAAAAAACTTTCAAAGCATTATTTTATTTTCTTGCTTTCCCTCTCCCTTTGTCTTTTTACATACTTTGATATTCTTCAACAGCATTGGCACCTTGTTGACTTGGTTCTCCTCCAATACTACCTTGATTTCCTACATTACCACTATCACTACTACCCATGGAAAATTTTGTTCGATCTTGATTTTTTATATTATCATCTAATTGAGATGATGGATCTCGAACAACAAGTTCAACAGATCTTTTTTGAAGTGCTTCTTTAATTAATTTAACTGTATCTTCATAACTTGTTTCAGTTACTAATTTTCCATTAATTGATATAAGCGCATCATTAATATGTAAACCAGCTTTATCAGCTGGAGAATTTTTTTCAACTTGACAAATAACATATGGTGGAGAAGTTTTACCACTAAGTGCAAAACCAGCTGTACGATCAGCAGATGGTTGTAAAATACAAACACGAGTACTAGGTGATGTTGTCGATTGACTTGTAGATGATATTGGTGGTGCAGGTGCAGCTTGTTTACCAGATGATGAAGAAGATTTACGTGAATCATTTGTTTGATCATATGAACGACTAACATTTGATATTGATTGATCACCTAGAAAAAAAGTAAAAGAAAAACAAAAACCATCGATGACATGAATATAAATATTATTAAATCAATAGTCAATAAAAATTTATTTGTTATTAAAATAGTGAACATACAAAATGTTAGTAATTCTAATATGTGTGACATGCAAAAACAGTACAATTATTGATTATTTTATTTAAACCTTATAAGCAAAAACATATTGCAATATTGATTAAAAGATTAATTAAATTAGTATGCACAATAAAGACACAATTATATACAAATACTAATCTATAAGATTAAAAGCCAATCAAGAAATACAATTAAAAAACAAAACAAAAAGACAAGTTAGTTATACAGTGACTACTAAAATTATTCAACAAAGTTTATTTTCAATATTTTTCTGCTGGTTGTAAAATATTAGAAAGAATTCAGATGGAAAAAATGGTTTCCAACTAGATAACCTGTGACAGCTCACAATTCTAAGAACTGGATCTAATGATCAATTTTTTTCTCAAATGTACTTGTTCTTAGTTCTTTGATCGGAAACTGTCATAGATCTATTTCCAACAAGAATATAAAAAAATAAAAATTATTATCAAATTCGCAAGAATAGAAACTTCAGAACACCAAAAGCCTAGTTTTTTAACATCTAGAACACGTAAATATAATTGTTTTTTTTTAAACTAAATAGAACACTAGAGTAAACCATCTTCGAGTTCTTTGTGACACTTTTCCGATGAGATATAGCAATTTAATTGAAGATCAAAAAATGGTTTTTCTCTACGAAGTTGAGAAAGAACCAATTTTAGGAACTTTCGTAACATTGCTGTATCTCAGCTAAAAAACTCGGAGACATCTCATGTTGTCGAAGATGTTTTACTCTATTGCTCTATGTAGCGTAAACAAATTTATATTTGCATACTCTATGTATTGAAAAACTAGGAGTTTGATTTTCTTGAGTGTTCTTATCTTTGCGAATTTGCTCATTATTTTTTATTTCCTTATATTCCGTTTTGGAAACAATTTTCTTTATTCGAATCATTATTTAGATTCTTTCTAATGCTTACAATAGCAGAAAAAAAAATTATGAAAAAAAATTTGATACTTATTATAAATAGATGTATATATAATAAAAATTAAACATGCATTATCATGCAAAAAGAAGATGAAAATATGTTAAGATAATAATAATTATTTTTTTTCATGATATGATTTTCGTTGATATGTGCTTTGCCTACTTTGTATTGTTTCATTATTCGTTTGATCATCTAATATTGGTTTCCAATCGATAGATTTTTTTTCTTGATAAATTTTATATCGTGATACGTCATTTTTTTTCATTAATATTAAATCAATATTTGTATTTGATAATGATAATTTTCTTATAAGTATTTTAACATCATCATGTGTTAATAATTCAACATTTTTTTTATCAACAAATAAAATAATATCATCTTCACGTAAACCAGCCTTAAATGCTGGTGAATCTTCTTCAACTTGATCAATTAAATGAAGTCCATTTTGATAACGTAATACAAGACCATAACCATTATAAGTTGGATCTTTTTTTAAAATACAATGTTTTACTTTAACAGAACCTTTATCATCAGTAAATAAAGTATGAAAATTTTGTGATAAATCATCATTAATTAATTTTGGTGATTCAGATTTTGAATGAGAAAATCTTGTTTCATCACTTGATTCACTTGGAATATGTTTCATTGGTGAACGAGAACGATTAGTTAAATCTAATAATAATAATGAAAAAAAAAACAATAAATAGTATAAAAATCAGAACTGGACCAGAGCTGCCACCTCTTCTGCTTTTTGAAGTTCTTTCTGTTTTTTTTTCTGTTGTTTCTTCTTTTTTTATCATTTCAATCAACATTTTTCACCTGAAGTACCTTCGTTTTCATAATTATTAAAAAAACCGTAGCAAAAACTACTGATATTTTTGTGCCATTCTAATTCTTTCTATTTGATACAGATGATTTTTATTTTCTACTGACTACAAAAAACTACCAATCTATATATTTGGCTTTAAATCAATTCTTTATCTATGACTTTCTATCGTATTTTAATTACTCATGTAATTCATATACGTTCTTTCGTTTGTTTACTCAATGAACATGAATAATTAATATGAATAATGAGAGGAAAGGAACAGAAAAAAACAGCTCTAGATGATAATGACAGTTCGACTAGCGAAGAAGGTATTCACAAAGCAATTGTAGTTGCTGAAGTAATAATTATGTTATCAGGAGTTAAATCAGAAAACAGAAATTGAATAGAGTCATCTTCAATAGAGGATGGTTCAAAGTCATCGAATATTAATAAACTTTAAAAGAATATAAATTTGATCCTTTTTAACTAACATTTATCGTTCGTCATCAATAGTTTTCTGAACATTGTTAATAAAAAGCTAATATTAATAATCCTATGAACAATAAGAAACAAAAAAAATTTTAAATGCTATAATTTAATCAACAATTATTTTGAATTTCTCCTTATCATATACTATAATGGATAGATATTTATTAGGTAAAAAAGATTTGTCAAAAGCTCTCAAATCAGATGAAGAATATTTCTTAAAAAGAAAACGTGTTCAATGATTCTGCCTATTTGTTAATTAGTTGTGTTTTGTGATACCATACAATGCGAGTGATTAGTATACTGAAACTAAAATTTAAAACTAACGAGTAGCTCGTAAATAAAAGAGAGTCTCAGTATTTTGTTAACATCTTAAGCGTTATCTTATCCCTCACGCTTTATTTTTTTATCGAAAGATTCACCACCTGATTCTGCAGAAATTGGTACATTTCACTGCAAAAAAATACTTATCTCTCTTTCAACATCACCATGATTTAAAACAAGCATTACACACAACTTTCAAGGTCTTCATTTTTTTCAAAAATGTCCAGTTTCTCAATTAATCCTGTTACTTTGGGTATAATTTGTTCGCCACTCAAGAGATAAATTGGTTCATTTCAATCAACGTATCAAAGGCAATTTATTTTATTTTTGGATAAAGAATATGGCACGACCAATGATAATAAGACTAATCTAAGGACTGGGTGTTTTCGGAGAGAATTGAAAAAAATAGAGATTTTGAAAGTTGTGTGTAGTGCTGTTTTTAAATCGTGGTGATGTCGTAAGAGAAAGAAATAAGTATTTTTACAACGAAATACACAATTTATGCAGAAGCAAACGGTGAATCTTTTGATAAAAAAACCAGAGCATGAGCACTAAGATAACACTTAAGATGTTAACAAAATATTGAGACCCTCTTTTATTACGAGCTACCCATTAGTTTCATATTATAAACATACTTTCTGCTGTCTTTCTGCTTTTCGGACTTTAAAAGGTGGCAGCACTGAGTTGGACACAGGACAGGATAAAACTGTAATTTATGTCCTGTCCTGTCCCGCCACACCCGTTAGGACGAAACAGAAAACATTATTCTATGCTTAGTTTTGATAGAAATAATTTGAATAAAAAAAAAATTTTTTTTCTATGTAAATTACCTGATTTTTGTCCAACGGATTCATAATCGGGTGGTGGTGAAGCTTTTTTATCTTGTGCAGCTTCTGTTTTATTTTGATTAAGTTTAACATTTTCAATTAATTCTAAATATCTAGGATCATTTACAACTGTTAATTGTAAAGGTTTTTTTGTTTGCATCATACGACGAACATCTTCATGTATAGAATTTGTTACATCAACACCATTAACTGTTAATATACGATCACCATCACGTAAACCAGCTTTATCAGCCATTGATGATTGTTGTACATTACTTATAAAATGTGTTTGAATTTGACTATCACCTTCTGGTATAAATGAATTAAAATCTAATCCTAATGCTTCTTTTAATACAATATGACGAATATCATTTCCATCATAGTCTTCCGATGCTATACAAAGAAAAAACAAAAATAATAAATAAATTTCAAAATAAAGATTTAGAACATACGTTGATTAGAAAATGGTTTTCTTTCTGGTTGACGATATGTAGCTTCACGTGTTGGTGAACGACTTGGTGAACTACTTTGTGAACGTGGTGATCTTGTTAAATTTTCATCAGATATTGGATTTGTTAAACCAACTGATAATGGACCACCAGGTGCATTAACATTTGCTTCACGTGTAGAAACCGGTGTACGTTGAGAACGTACTGTTGATGGACTTGTAGAACGATCAGGTACAAAACGAACTTGACTATTATCTGGTGTATCACGTGTTATATCAGTTGTTAATAAAGATGTTGGAATTTGACCTAAAATTAAAAGAAAAACAAACAGAATATGTTTATTTTTTTGTTTCTTTATATGAAAAATAATAAATATAAATTTTAACCTCCTTGCTGACGATTAAATGATTCTGATCTTGATGATATTGTTGTTTGATCTTTATCAATTTGTTGAGTTGTTAATGGTGATGATGTTTTTTTTCTTGCTATAACCATATTAATTAAACCAGCGTTAGTTAATAATTGTCGAATATCTTGTGAAACTTCAGAAAATTCAACTACACGTATATCATTATCTTCTATTTTAATAAGCCAATCATTAATTTTAAGACCAGCTAAATCAGCTTTTGTTCCTTTAGCAACAGCTGTTATAATATATTGTAATGGATCTTGTTGTTTAGTTAATTTAAGACCAACAGGACTTGTTTCAGTTGGTTGCATTAATTGTATATTATGAAATTCATAACCATGTTCTTTTAATTCTGATAAAGGCATTGTAGCTAAACAAAAACAAAAAAACAAAAGAAAATAATAAATATTAAATTAATTATATTAGTTTAATCAATAGTTATAAAAATAATAATAAAAATAATATTTAAAGAATAATTGAAAGTTATTATATCATTCCTGTTCAATGAGATATATAATAAAAAAAAAAAAGGATGCACGGCAAACATAAGTAGTATTAGTATAGAACCGTATATCACCAATATGAGTATATTTATATATGGCTCACCCAACGCCATTTTATCTGATTGTACAGATAGTCTTTCACTTTCAGATGAAGTCGATTCATTGGAATCTCTTTCATCATCATCCTCTTCAGTATCATATTGTTTTTGTTGTTGATTTGGAAAGTTAGATATTGTTTGATCTTGTTTATTAGTTGAAGATTTAACTTGATCAATTTCATGTTGTACAGATGGATGCCATGATTTTTGTTGTTGATCACCAATTTCATTTTCATCACCAATAGATTCCTCAGGTGAATAAAATGTCTCTCCAATAGATCGTCTTGGAGTATGAGAATCAGCACCTGATGTTGTATCTTCACTATCAGAATGTTCTAAACGACGAGCTTGTATAACTGGTCTTCCAGTCACGAAAAATGGTGCATTTGATCGATCATCAGCATCCGATATAGTTGATGCTAATGATGGTTTATTATTAAGACCTCCTGTACGAATATTTGATTCTATATCTTCATTACCAGATGCAAATTCTGATGTAGTAGATGTTTTTAATGAGTCAGAATACTGTGCATCTACTTTGTTATGTGTAGATCCAATAATCTTAGATTGTAGATTTTTGTTCGTAACAGGTTCGGAACTATCTTCTTCACGAGATCTTTCTGATATATCAGATAATTCATCATCCGTATCATCGTACATAGTCATATGTGTATTGCTCTTGATAGGTTTACTCGGAGTACTCATTGCTTTCGTAGTGCCTGTATAGTCATATTTATTTATTTATTATTATTTTTTTCTTGAATTTTTAAATAGTTTTCATTCTTTTAAAAATATTCAGAATTTCTTTAAAGATTACTTACCTAAACGAAGATCAGATTGAGTTGATGGTGTTGTTTGAGAACTTCCTGAACATATAAAATTAGAATTCAAAAAAAAAAAAAAATGAAATCCATAATTCAAACAAACTTTGTTCATAATCAGGTATTGTAGATGATGTTCCAGTAGGTGCAATAGGTACAGCACTTGTAAGATTTTGTACAGTTTGATTTTGTCGTGATGATGAAGTTATATCATCATGTGTACTTGTTGCTATCCTATCTGGACTTGGTAAACGTTTAGGTGAACTATCTCGTTGTTCAATTGATGATGTTGGTCGTGATGTACGATATTCATCAGGAGGAAGATTAGTTGGTGAAATACTGCCTGTTTGTTGTGCTGGTGTTTTATTAGTAATACCAACTTGTAAAGGTTTAAAAGAATCTTCAAATGAACTACCACGTCCTTTTGTATCATCTATATCTATACAGAAAAAAAAAAGAAATTTATATTTATTAAATTTTGTATAATTATTTCTCATGTATTGATTAATATATTTTGAAAGAAGAGAGAGAGAGAGAGAGAGAGAAAAAGCAATACGAAAATGTTATTTATATATTTAAAGGTTATTCTTATGAAAAATTTCTAAATGTCATGTAAAATGTTATGTAAAAATATTTAAGATTTTATTAAATAACATATTCAAAGAAACATTTATAAGAAATATTTCTTTTGACTAACCTGTTCGTTGACCACGTATATTTGAACGAATTGATGAATCACCACTAACTGGTCCTGGTAAATCAGTTGATTTTCCACTTGATACACCCCATGATGATCGATCAGCTGTAGCTGGACCAACACCTTGTAAAATTTGCCCTTGTTGTTGTTGTTGTTGTTGTTGTTGTTTTGGTAAATATCGATCATCATCTAATGTTGGTGAAGTTCGACTATATCGTCCATTTGTTGTTGTTGAAACTGTTTCTCTTGGTCGATTAGAAGTTGTTTGCTCATCGAATGATGATTGTCGTTCATTATATTTATTATAAAGTTGTTCTAATGCTTGTGCTGCTCCTGTATTTGATGGAATATTTCGTTCAGATATATTTGATGATGGCATAACTTGACCAGTTGTATCATTATATTTATCTGATATATCTTGTTGAGTATTACTTAATTGTGTATTACTTTGACGTGATTTAAGTAAATAAGTTTTTTTTGCAACAAGAAAATCAAGATTTGTTTGATTACGACTTTGTTTAAGTATATTTAAAACATCATCATATGGAATATTAAGAAGTGTTACATCATTAAGTGATATAATACAATCATCTCGTTCAATACCAGAACGATCAGCTAATGAATCTGGTTCAACTTGTTTAATAATATGACCAAACTCTTTATCTGATTTTAATGATATTCCAATTGTATCTATACCTGGTCGAAGTGTCATTGAACACATACGTGGTTCAGCTCTTAAATTATTATTTGTGTCTAAAAACAAAAACAAAAACAAAAAACATATTAAATTAATATGTAAAAAATAAAAATGAATGAAGTTTCATTTCATGCATTGTCATGCGAAAAGAAAGAAATAATACTAGTCAAATAGGATAAGCAGCATCCATAACCAAAAGCATTTTGTTTGTTTTTTTTTTTTATTGTCATGCTTTCTCTCATTTCTCCTACCCTCTGACTTAGATGAAGCTTGCCATATACGTCCATATGGCTGTGGTGGTTTTTCTTGAACAGCAGAAGAATTTGAAGGAGTACTTGATATTTTAAATGTATTTTTAAGTTTATCAACAAATGATGGAGATTCATCACCACGAGAACCACTATCACTTGATTCACTGCTACTTCTACGTTTAGATTCAGTAATATCATGTTCATATTCATGATGTTCATCATCACGATGTCTTGTTGGTAAAAGATTTTTAAGACCTCCAATGCCTGACTTAACGAAACCTTTAACACCATCTGTGATACTACTAATTTGGCTTTTATTTTTATTATCACCGGTATAATCTTTAGGACGAATATCTTCTTGTAAATGTTGTTGTGTTCTTGAAGATAAATTATTTTCTTGTTCGAAGAGAATATCAAAAAAGGATTTGCCGTTTTCAACCGCATGATCTGTAATATGAGTTATTTTTTTGTTCATATATACAATATTTAGTGAGAAAAAGAAAAGATCGAAAATTTCTTTTTATGTTTGTAAAATAAAGCTTAATGTCATAATCAATAATTATTCTATTCGAAAAACAAAAACTAGAAACCTACCTGAATATGGTAAAAATGTATAAACCTCAGGTCCTTCACGTGGTGGTTTATCTTGATATCGTTGATTAGACAAATTCATTTGATTTTGATTTAATGATAATGTTGGTCCAAGATGTATTGTATTTTGTGCCACTGTTGGATCATTATTAGAACTTGTTGTACGTAATTGATCATATAAAAGTTTTTCTGGACTTACAGTTAATGTTGGTGTTTCCATTCGAACACATGTTCGATAATTTTCATCAATATTTAAATGATGATGTCGAGCTAAATCTGCACTATGAGGATCAACAACTAAAAATCGAATTTGATCATCTTCAAGTTCACGTTGAATAAATGAAAGTATAACAAAAAAATCATCATTTTCAACTGAATGACCATTTACAGCAAGAACAACATCTTCACGTAAAAGACCACCACTTTCAGCTGGACTATTTGGTTCAACATCACCAATACGTAAACCAAGCCAATGTTGATTACGAGCTAAATGAACACCATAACCTATAAGACAAAAAAAAAACAGAAAAAGAAAGAAATTTATTTAAAATTTTCTATTTTTTTGTTACCATCATAATGAGGCCATTTACGTAAAACACATAAACGTGGACGAATATTTGCTATTTGTTCATTATCATATTGAGAATATTGTTGTTGTTGTTGTTGTTGTTGTTGTTGTTGTTGTTGTTGACGAGATGTTGATGATGCACGGCCTGTTTGTCCACCTGATGTAGTTAATGTTGGTTGACTATGATAAGTAGTCGATTGATTTGTGCCAACTTGCATCATATTTGTTTATGAAGTTTGATTTTTTTTTTGTTTTTAATTAATTATGTTATTTTTTCGACCGGGGAATTTTTTTATTCTTTGTCTTAATTAACGACTAGACGAATCGACAAATAGATGATAACATCAACTAGAAGAAGAAGTGAAATTTTATTTTAAAAAAGTTTGATAAATAAACAAAAAAAAAAGTAAAAAAATCAAGGAATATTGGGTTTTTTTCTCTGATTCGATCTTGACTCATATAAACTAAACAATACAATAAACACGTTTATCTTCTCTCTCTCTTTCTTCTTTTCAAATGACTAATGCATATCTACTTAGTTTCTTTTATCTCTTTATTTAAGAACTAAAATGCTCTCAGTAGTGAGAATAAGAGACAGAGAAATATGTGTACAATCTAAGCTGTTTAACCACTTGACTTCTAATGATTGAAAAAAAAAAAAATAACAAAACACAAAAAAAATATTTATAAAAATGTATATAATTGATATGAAAAATTCGTTGGAAATTACATATTTGTTTCGGTCGGGTGTTGTACAAACCTATATATACTCTTCTTTTTCTTTTTTTCTTAATAACCCTGTCAAACCCTCTAGCCCCATTTTGAAATGCGATATCCTTGAAATGTGTATGTGTGTGTGTGCTCGTCTGCCTGACTGCTTGTCTGCTTGTGTATGTATGTGTGTGTCTTGATCAAAAAAAAACTGAATGATGAGTTGTTGTATGGAACATAAACTATAACGGCTGTCATTACCACGTCTTTCACTATCTATTTGCACGTACTACTACTATTACTACTATTCGTCAATATACCCATATGTATATCTAATCATCAGACACGAAAAGCAAGACAAAAAAATAATGCAGCAAAATGAAAATGCTAACCGATACGCTTCGATAACTCTTCTCTAGCTTTCTTTATCTTTCTTCTTTCTCTCTTCGTCCATGTTGTTTTTTTTTCTATATGAAATATACGAAGGACATTCACTGAAAGTCTACCCGACGTGTCGTCGTTTTTGCTATTTCGATTTTCTCTCTTCTTTTCTCTCTCTCTTTTCGGTTCGTTTTTTCCCACTGTCTCTCACATATACACACTATTTTATTGAAAGGCCATTACCTTCTAAATAATAGCATCATTATCATCATCATCGTATAATATATCTCTCTTATTCACTTGTTTCTTCAGGGTAAAGAAAGAATATAACAAAAAAAAAAAAAAGAAAAGGCAGAAAAAAGGGTGATGTTTGTTATGTACAGTTCTTCTCTCTTTTAAAACAAAGAAAGAACAGAGCAAATTCCTTTCTATATATAAATTTATGTGTCTTTTTTCTTTTTGCTCGAACAGCACTAAAGAACATTTCGTAGCATCCAATGCAATCGCAAAAGAAAATGGAATATTAGAAAGATGAAGAGATAAAATTACTTCATCAAACGAATGAATGCAACGAAAAAAAAAAAAAACGAATAAATGATAGAAGAGAAAGATAGAAAATTTCATTTATGTGATTCGTCTTCACTACCATCATTACTACAATATAATCAAGCGGCTAGTGTTGATGATAATAGTAGTAGTGATGCTGTCGATGGCATATTTACTATTACCATTCAAATGTCTTGTGTTTAACCTTTACTTCAATTTTTTTTTCTTTGTTCCAACAATAGAAAGAGATATGGCACGCGCCAATATGAACACAAACATAGGTAGACACATATAGAGAAGAAGAAGAAGAAGACAATGAGATTTGTCTCGATAACCTTTTAGAATAATTTCCTTCAAATCGATAGTTTTTCTTTTATCACTCAATTTTCAATAAATATTTTCATTTGTTGTTAATTATTGAGATACTTAAATAAATGAAAGAGAGAAAAAAAAATTATAACCTCGATGGTTCTCTTTTTCGTCTTTTTCTTTCCCAAGGCAAACAACACAAAAAAATATGCAATTATATATTTTGTCGTGTTCATTTTGTCATTGATGATAATATGCATATACTACGTTCTAATATACTTTTTTTTGTTTTTCTTCAAGTATAGCTGTTTTTTTTTTACTCATAACTAATTGAAAAAAATGAAAGATATATACATTAAAAGAAAAAAGAAAAAAAAGAAATGATTAATTTTATAATAACCAAACAGAATATTCGATCAAAATCTCGACAAAAATATTGATAGAAAAAAACAAAATTTGGAAAGGTTATTTTTCACCTGTACTTTTATCATTAATAATGTTATTATTATTATCTTATATTATTTCAAAAATATTTCTATCACAGATATTCTCGTATTCATAATATTTCTTTTGTTATTTCGAATGAATTTGGACAATTTGATACAATCGTTTAACTGTTGTCTTTTCACATATATATAAAAGCTATTAATACATATTACTAATAATAACCTGATGATAAATTGTGATATTTCATGTGTGCAAAAAATTGATGAAATGAATATTGACAGTCACTATACACAAAAAAGAAAATTTTTTATACACTTTGTACTTGCCGTATATATGTATATATATATATATATATATAACGAATACATCAATTAGCAAAAGAAAAATGATATACTATGGTCATTTTAAATTTCAATTATTTTGATTTGTTTTTTGTTTTGTTTTATTTTGAATTTATAATTAGCATTTCTATCTACTGAAAATTATTTTCATATTTATCATATACGAAGAAAAAGAAAAAGAAACATATTAATATAAGATTGTCTCATTTATTAGATAAGATTTTTCAATGACAGGAATATATGATACTTTATAATTTGCATCTAATCAACTATCAGTAGTATTGGTAAATGGATATTTTTTTACAATATATCAATGAAAAATCATCATACTATCTCAATCCACTTGAAAAAAGTTGTAAATAATAGAATGAAAAAATGCAAATCTTCTTTTGTTGCTTACCGCTTGTATAGATTTTATTATTAAAGCTGTTTATGATGGTACGAACCATTTTTTTTTCATGTATAACATTACTATTTATATTGATCTAACTCATTAATCTTTCTGTTCAATTTATTATATTGTTGTATATTCACTTTTTTTTTTCTTCTAAGGTCTACATAAACGTAATTAGGTTAAAGTAGAAGTAAGAAATAGTTGCTGGCTTTTTTTTTTTTTGCAATCTTCAAAGTATTATTTTAATTGAGAACAAATAAGAGAAGTTAACTTTATCTGTACAATTGTCACTTACTTATCTATAGACAAAATTAGTTTAATTATTTCGTACTATTTACTATTATTTTCTAACTAAATATCTATATTGATATATGATTTTTATATGTGTAAGACTTTTTTTTTCTTTATATTAATACATATATATTCAATATACAGATTTATATGTATATATTTGCTTCCAGTATACGTTTAGTTTAACTATAGTCAGTCAACTAAGTCAAACAACACATCCACTTCACTTTTCTCTTCTTTAGAATGTACCTTTACGTATATGAATGCATGCATGCATGCATGCATATATAAATGCGGGTCAATAGAATTGTGCCACTTGTCAATGTACAAACGCTTCAAGGTGTTATCCTTTTGTGCATATTTGTGTGTTTATATCGAGTATATACAGTTAAATTCAGTCAAGCATCTCTCATATACTTAAAGCTGATCGTCAGATCATCATCGTCTTTTTTATATACCTTTCGGGAGAAGATGCATATGTCTAACTAATGATCAAGTTAAAAGATGAAAAGAATGTCATTTGTTTGTATAAGATTCCTTTTTTTTTCTACTTCTTTTATTTTTTATATTTGTTACAATAACAAATAATGGAAGTCGTGTGACTACGTCCTATACAGCAAAAAAAACACCACGTCAAAAGAATGTTAAACAAGACCATAAGAATTTCTCTATTCGTCACATACATATATATATATATATGTGATATGTATTGATCATTTAAAAATGGCACCAAAAAAGAAAAGAATTAAAAATTGAATGGGGTTATCTTTTGCACTTGATAGAGCAAAACGAGCGCGTCTTGTTCATTTAAACCGATAAGACGAAAAAAAAAAATTGAAACAGAACAGTCGCTGTCTGCATTTCTAACCACTTAATATGAAAATTTATCCCACTGTTCAATTTCGCATGGCTAGTAGTGGTAATAAAGTATCAATCATAAATTCGTAAAAGATAAATTTTGTTTCTCTCTCTCGCTTGACAGTAATCATGGACAAAAGGCGTTATTCGTTTCTCACTTTCCAATAGTGACTTACGTGTGCTGTACTCGAATATAGACAAACTCCACCGAAAAAAAAAAATACGATAACTTGTTTTCAATCCCACACGATAGATGTAAAATAAATCTTAACAATGATATTTTATCATTTACTCTTGTCTTTTTCTTGTTCTTTAGTTACTTTATACAACTACAGAGGAAAAAAAAAGAACAGAGCAAAGTAATTTTGAAAAAGAAGAATTAAAACATATACTGATATGAGTGTTGTTATTAATCTTTTCTTTTTCATCTCATTATCTTACCTACAAAATGATATCATTATTTCTCTTTTCTTCTTTCGTCTCACAAAAAAAAACATGAATCTTTCAAAATCAACATATGAAATAGTTTGTAAATCGTTGAATATATGTAGAATTTCTGTTCACACATAAATGTAATAATAGACATGAACTAGTCAAAATTTGAGTAGCAATAAAAAAAGAATAATGCGATCATAAAAATAAAAAGCAATTGTTTTTTGTTAACTTACTGACTTGATTTATTTATATTGGTAGATTTCACAAGTTTAGATTCTTCTTCACTTTTGTTTTAGATATTCGAAAGAAAAATAGAGAATCATATGATAATGGCAATGATATTCATTGATCTGTCGTTTTCTTCTTCTTCTTCTTCTTAGTTCTTTTTTTTTCAATACGAAACGATCAATATAAGCACGCGTTTGAGAGTATAGAAGAGAGAGAGAAGTATAAATTTCAATCGACTCGTATATATGTATATGTATATGTATATATATATATATATGTG